TCTTGTACAATGTTCAATCAAGTTATAAAAAATGATTAAGTATCATTATTCATTAATGAGAATAATTAGTGTTCATTTAATAATTATGTTTCTCGTGGTATTCAAAGTAGATCGTAGGGCACTGTGTCTGAATTTGGTTAAAATTAGGGCACCTACGGAAAAACAATTTGGGTACTGCTGTAGTGCTGTATTAGGTAGTCAATACCATAATAATTATGGTAATAATTCATTTACGAACCTAACTGACCTAACTATTTACGAATTTATTTATTTACTAGCGAGAACATTTTTATAGATATATAGAACTACCTGAATATCCCAGCTCCATATAGGTGTGTTGTTTTTTGTTGTGGAAAATCCTATTTAGTATATACGCTATATAGCCATATTGGTGTATCTCGGTTCGGGACTTCAAGTGTATCTCAGTTTTATTGTAGGTACCTCAGTTCACGGAAAAATCATGGAGTAGTTGAGGGGGTACCATATGGGTGGATGGCCACCCATTGGACATTTTTATCGGAAGTGTTTCAATCACGGTTATAACCGACTCCACGGTTTAAAATAACTGTATGAACGCAATTCCACGAAATAGCAAAAAAATCACTTAACAATGTTTAATTTTTCGTCATTTTTAACAATACATATACTAAAAATACAATAAATAGTAGGTATAATATATTTAAAATATTAAATATAATAAATGCGATCAAGATGTAACTCCATTCTCCAACTGACCAATTAGTTGTCGAAATAAATCGTTTATAACATTAGAATTTAGAAAGCGCTGTTAGGTAATGTATAATGACTAATATAATAATCACAAAAATTATTTTATAAGATTTACTTTAATACTTCAATTAAACCTAGGTAATTAAATTTAATGTGCAATTCATGCAATCATGTTGATTGTTTATTACAATTTTAAAAATAATTTATAGGTGATATAATTATTATTATAAAAAATGTATAGTATATAAAATATGTCTTATAAATTATTTATATTTAATTAAATTTGTGTGTGCCGCGTGATTGCTTTAATTTTTATATTATGAACAAAATATCTTGTAAAAGGCCAGTTTAATAGGGGCCCAAAACTTTTTACAACCTACAAGCACTTTAGGTCTTAATCCGTAGCTGGGTACAATAAAAAACAAAATCTAATTTTTCGAAAACCGGGTTTGAGTAAAAACTCAGTTTTTCCTAAATATTTTGTTTGTTTTTCCTGATGCTTTTGAAAACTATTGGAAATTTTACTTTTTAACCCCAAAGTACCATCTAGATTCACAATTTCACAGATTCACTGAAAAGCGATGCTGTTGAAGAAAATCGAAGTATTTTTACTGCCCAAAAAGGTGATAACAAACAAAAGAAAAGAATAAACAAATTAAAAACAAAACACACATCATTGTAAAATCAATACATTCATCGCTCCGCTCAGAATATAAAATTAAGGAAAAAGTTTTAAGCAAAACCTGATCAATGTCAATTTTTTTTTCTTGGAGAAACTGAAAACCACAGTTACATTAAAATGTCCATTGAATTATTCGAGGGTACTTAAAACTTTTGGCTGTATTTAATTCACACAATGACATATATTATTTTCATTCAAATTCAATGTTTTCGACAAGAATTAATTAAACTTACTGTATAAGATTAAGTATAATCAATAGTAAAACAAATTACTTTAATAGCAATAATATTAAAAAATATATTTTGTTTCATTCAAACCACTCAAATTCTTTCACATATTAATAAAATATACGAATTAATTATGTTTGTTTTAATAACATTTTTACTCAACTCTTTTCTAATCATTTTATTTAATTTTACAGTATTGATAGATACAATTATGAGATACTGATAAAATAACCTTAACCACAGGCGTAGCTAAATTGCCTATCTATTACGCCGTGTGATATGGTCATATGGATATACATAATTATAATATTATGTATAATATATTACCTAATATGTTTATAATACTATATTATAGTAGGTATACTTAATTGTAAAATAATTTTAAGTATTAGAAAATAATAATATCATTTGAGTTAGGTAGAAGAAACATATATATCAAAAGTGTTACCTATAATATTGTCGATATAATATAAAATACGTAAAACAGTTGTTGGGAATTTATTTTAATTGTACTGACCTTATAACCGTAACGAAAAAGGAACAGTATTTGTTGTATTATAATATCATAATGTTGTCTCCGTCATACGTGCGTATGACATAATTTTCGTCCGCTGGTTTGAATAGGGTGCTGTCGGTTTTGATATTAGCATTTATTGGCCTATTATCAAACTTTAAAGTAAGTAACAACGTTGTTAGTCAAAACAACTCGTTAGTTTTTAAGGATATTTTAATTTTTAAGTGAGTTATGAGTATGTAAAACATTAATATTTGAAAATGCTCATTATTCACTTAAAAATTAAAATATTGTAAAAACCATCGTCAGAACACAGATAATGTTGTTACCTAAAAGTTTGACAATAGGTAAATTCATTGTTATATCAAAACTGACAGCAGCCTATTGAAACTAATAAACAAAAATGTGCTAAGTTGTCCGTGAGTAAGACGGATACAACACATGCGGGTGCGATGTCCTCTTATAAGACCGAAGTATTACAAAATATAAAATATAACACGCTATAACCTGGAACCCAAACTACCGAGCATCTTACCAAGTAATAATTATTCTTTAACCACGATATAATATTATATGGAAAATAAATAGAATTTATCTTTATCTTATTTTTCTTCTATGGTTAAATACAGTGGCGTCATTTCAGTTTTCAATAGAGGTGGGCAAAGGTTTTGACCAGCCTGAGTGGGTAAAAAAAAACCTCTCGCTTCGCTTGCAACCACATATTATCTACTTACATTTTTTTATGGTACCCTTTTTATTAATTAAGTAAAATAATTTTTAAATATAAGGTAGCAGATATTTTAGAAAAATAATTGTATACCTATATCAGTTAAAAGTCTACAAACTATTGGCAATATTTATATTGATAAACAAAAACATTAGTAGTTTATTAATTATTAGGATATCTTCTTTTTTTTTATTTTTGAAAATATATCAACTACATTATTTATAAATCAATTTTACCAGATTCATCACTTATAGCCCATACTCTATTTACTCTTATATAGGTATACGATTTATTTACAAATTAATATTATCTTAAATTATAATATATTCTTTTTTTATTGCTTGCTTATAGGCTCAAGTTCTGTCTGTTTATTAAACATATACCAAGATATTATTTTCGATTCTTGAGCAGTTTGCGGTAAATTTATATTTTTAGCTGCACCTCCCATTAATTTTTAAGTCCTATTTTTCCCAAATTAAAAGACTAATGTAAATAAATAAATTTGAATTTAGGTAGAATAAGGTACTCAACTAAAATATTAACACAATACGCAGAATAGTTGAATCATACACGACTGTCGCAAGTTAACTTAAGTCCGTGATCAATGATAATTAATATACTATATAGAGTACCAATCGGCTGTTGTTTTTAGAATTTGTATTAATTTTAGATTTTAGAAATTAAACTACCTATACGAGATTATGATACTAATTATTATTATTGTTGTACATACAACAATATTAATATGTTCGTTTTTCTTCACAAAACACACTCAGACAAACAAACATACATAAATACATACCCATACATACAATGTGTACGTCTCCGCATACGTCTAAATATAAATATATTCCAACTAACAATTAGTAAAAATGTATCATTGTGAAAATAATAAATTTCTTAGTACATATAGTATAATATTTTCTGAAAATATTATAAAATAGGCATGTTTTTGTGCATATAATAATGATAAAACGGCAAAAACTGGGCACCGGCCATTTGGGTCGCTTATAAAATCAGACAGGGGCAAATGCCCACCTTGCCCTCCCCCCAAGTGACGCCACTGGGAAAATAGGCCACTCAGGACCACCCATTTCTCACACACTCATCCATCGTTCACTTGCTCTTTCTTTCCAATTCGTGCCTCAGCCTAGTGATTCCACATCGTTTTTGACTAAGTCTCAAAATAGGTCTTTTCCCACATCAGGTATGGTTGTACTTTGCAACAAAAACTCAAGTTCTACATTATTTAACCTTCTCCATTCTCCACTGATACTTGAACTGGCTCAAAGATTTTTCTCAGTAGTTTTCTTAGAATTAAATTATACACTTAACAAACCACACGGGGTCCGCGATTAACCGCAGGTAGACTGCCTACCTGATAATATACTGCTGCGAATTTCACGAGCAACGTCTGTCGAGATGGCTATACTTTTAAGTATAATATAATTTACACTTAAAAATACATTGCATCCACAACGTGTTACATCAAAAGGAGTTGAATAATCAGAATTTATTTTCCGGGTAACGCCAGGCAATTCAGCTAGTAATATAATAAAATATAATTATAACTATAAATTTAAACAAAAATTGTTGTTGTTTAGTACACCTACATAATCTGAATAACCAGTATTATACGTAGGTATAAATGCATTTAAAGCTACGTCAACAAACCGTTAGCTGTATTAACATAGTAGTAGTACCAATATAACACATTCTAAAACAAGTTATCAAATCACTTATATTTTTATTACCACCTCCACCTATCTTAGAGTTTGTCCTTCGGTGATCATATATCTAGGTGGTAAGATGAGCATAATAATATCAACATCACCAGCAGACCAGCATGACGATATATTTACTATAGTTGTAAAGTGTTGTAAAGTTGTATTGGTTTTGTCGTCCATTTCACAGTGTTATCATATATAAAGTTTAAAAATTAATCAATTCCTTACAGTTATTAATGTAGGTATATTATATTAAAATATGTAGTGTATTTTGCTATACCAATACATGTTAGAAAATGTAGGGTTCATTGTATATTATAGCTTATGTATAAAGTTTGTGTATATTGTTTATATTTTTAAATACATTTGTTTTTATCTCAGCTCAACATTGGCAATGGAGGTGGCGTATTCCAGAATAATAATATATTCATGTTTAATTTTCGGTACGTAATACCAGTGGGCAGTGTTAACAATATAGTAATAAAAAGAAAATAATTTTTTTTATTGCATTATAATAATTATTATATTTAAATATTAAATATACCTCAATAATAAAAAACTTAATAAATGTATCTATCTAAGATTCTAAGGTGAAGAGTATTGAATACAACTTAGTATTTACCATATAATATGTAACAGTAATTTAATCAAAACAATAAACAGTTATTTTGATAACAATATTTTTCAAATTTATAAATTTAAATATAAACTTACTATACAATTAATACGGGATTAAATTGTTTTCACACTTAGTTTGTTAATTTACTATAATATATATAATATGTGTGTACTGTGGATGTGTGCGTGTGCGTGTTCTATGTAAAATTGTTTGAAACACAGAATTGGGTATGGGACATTGGGACTGTAACAATAATACATTATAATTCCGAAGATAATGTTTTATTTTTTTAATTAGCGTAGCTTATGTATTAAATTAGGATTTATGAGTGGGTACAATTATTTATTATTGAACACAACTGTGTGTTTATGTGAAGCAAAAAATTATATATCAAAGGCTCATAAGATTCAGTGATATCTATTGTCATGTGATGGCCAATGTGGGAGGGAAAGGGGTGACTTTTCCTATATATATATATATATATATAGGTATATTGTATATCTTTTTAAATGTAACCCGATACGTTGGTTGTTTGGTGAGATAGTTACGTGACTATTATCTATTTTTATAATTTTTAAGATATAAAGGATGATTCTTTAATCATTGAACACTCGATCATTATTTCAAAAAGTGTACATTTTTTTGAGAATATTGTTTTACACAGTTTCAAGTCGTTACAAAACAACGTTCTTATTAAAAAAATATATTTGAAGTATTGATGAGCGGAGTAGTGGACAAACATTTTGCGGGGTAACCACTCGCCGCTCATCAGTACTCGAAATACTTATAACCCAAAAACTACTCACCCTAAATTTGATTTTTATGTGTCAAAATACTTAGAAAAATATTCTGCTTTGGAATATGAAATTAAAACTCTATTTTGTCTTCTTAAGTATCGTTGAATTGATAAATTTGAAATACTTAGTTCAATATAATTTTAATTAATTTAATCAAAATATCATTAAATGAATAATAGTTGATTGAAATTACAATAACTCATTACCTAGTTAAAACCATATTATAAAATATTTTTGTTGATTCGTATAGTATTTCTTTGTTCAGTGTTTGTAAGTACTAAGTGGAATGTAGCTTGTGAGTAAAACGAGTGGTTTTGTTTTCACATTTTATTGGCTGTACAACATTTTTCCCCCACCTATAATTATTAACTGAAATTATGACATCGTAGGCACATGCCACACACGATTGCACCATAAATAATACTTTAATATAATACTATTGAATTCAAACTGCAAATGTTGATTGAAACAATAAATAATAATCGTAATCCACAAAACATTGTTTTTGTATATTTTAATGCTTAAGAATTTATTATTTCAGGAACTGGCATTTTCTGTGACAGACAACCAGCAGTATCATCTTGTTCAGTGTTGGTGACTATAGTATAAATAAATATTATGTTATTATATGGGCTGAAAATAGTGGTAACTGGGACCCTGAGGCAGTGGCGTAGCGAATCATGTTTTTCAGAAGCAATTTCTTCTGGTTTCTGGGGGGTAGTGGGGTGGGTCATAACCTCATACTGCCAACATACTCAGTCAGTTTTTGAACTTTATTTTGGGTACTACCAGACCCCCTATTTGAGCATATGAGTATCGTATACATCAGTTGGAGTTGGGTGGGGTAGGTCATACATAATTTGTTTGCTTCCATATGATTTAAAGTTCACTACGCCACTGCCCTGAGGAATTAGAGATCTAAAGTCTTAATAAGCATCACTAATCAATACTGAATTATGTACGATATATATTTAAAATTAGATATTCTTAGTAGGTACCAACTAGTAACTACACGTCGTCATTAATAGGTAATCATTATGCGATCAGGAACATCAAAACACCTAATTGTTTACATTTTTATTATGTAAAAACGAACTTTATCTACTATTCTCTCATTTTATTTTCTATCGATAAACTTGGGACTGCGCACGGGACATTGGATCCCGACATTAAATAAACATTTAATTATATTATGCTCTGAAATTGAATTGTTTATTGTTATCTTGAATCTATTTTATATTCATAAAGCTTTAATATTTGCTTATAATTTTATAATTAAAATTCAAAAATAATTTGTTGCTCATTTGAATAAAATTATAGAAACAATGATGATAACTTTGTTTGTACAAATGGACCATGTATCAAATGGTCTTTGGTTTGTGATGGCCATAAGGATTGTTCAGATGGTTCAGACGAGACCAAAGAATTGTGTGCTCAATACGAGTATGGAGCAAATATGAACTTGGGTAAAAAAAAAATAGCTCTATGATAATACTGTTTTTATGTTTATGTAATAACTAATAGATGCTGGAGTTCCGCATATTAATCTAAATATAGTGCTTCTAAATATATCTAATATTGTTTTAGAATGCGGTAAGGAAGCTGAAAATAAAAGGGTAGAAGAAACACCTTGGCTAGTTTATATACATCGAGTTGATAAAATGGAACCAAAAACAATCATTTTAGGGTTAGGATCAATTATTGCTCCAAATGTAGTCGTTGCTAGTAATGTCCTCGCACAATGTATTAAAGGAGGAATGAAAATAATTAAATATCGTTTTTAGTGGCTGAAACTTTTTGGAGATATGATTTAAAATATAAGCAAAATTCAATAAACGATGATGGTCGATATTTGTATAAAATTGAAAGTCTAACAAACTATTATATAGTTAAAAATCAAAATAATTTTTTAACTGTAAGTTATTAATAATTAAATGTTTACAAATAATTTGTATGGTATGTATAATGTAAATTACAACAATTTTGCAGGCGAAAATGATTTATTTTGCTGAAGATTATAATATAAGTATTGAATCTAATGCTGACGATTTAGCAGTTATTGTGTTAGCAGACAAAATTTCGTTTCGTAATGGTGTTTTACCTATTTGTGTCGACTGGTATAGTAAATATAGTCTACAGAATCCTCCACTAGTTCAGGTAAATTTATTGCACTAAATACCTACATTTTTTGCCTGGTTTAATTTCCACAAAGTCCCAGGATTTGGACAACATAGGAGAGTTCTGTGTGTTAGCCTTTTTCAGTTCAATTAGGTCACAGCTTAGCTCTGAATAATGTATAAAGTTAAAACACTAACTTGAGTATACATTCGGATTGAAATCTGCAATATTAATAATTTTTCCGTTGTAATTTGAACAAAATGGTCTAACTTTAATTCTCTTTATATCTCTAATACCTCGTATGAGTTCTGTGAGTACCTACCTACATATTTGTTATTATTATTAGGGCTTCCACTGGCCACAAGAATAAAAATAAATAATTGTAAAACCGATTAACATTATTCTTATTTTATATTCGATTGATTTAAACACTTTGTTTAGTCAGACGTCTTTATTTAACAAATAAACTTGAACTCATTATAGATACTTACATATCGAGATATTTATATAATACCTTTATTTTAATTGTTTCATACTTTTACAGATTGATAAATTTCAAAGGTCGTCAAATGGAATCTTTTCTACTCAAAAAATATTTATTCCTGGAAGTAATTTACACACCGACAACAGTTCTTGTCTACAGTTGTATGATAAGTACAATTTTGCAGATTCAGTGACTTATGATAATTTTTGTATCCGGATAATTACGGGTAATACAAATTTATATTCTGCTCATTAAATTAGATTTTTAACAATTATGGAGGTATTTAATAGAATATTGGATCTAGTTGGTACTTTGGTTGTCAAAAGTAAAATATTCTAGTACTTTTCTATGTAGTTGGACAAATCTAAAAAAAAATTAAGGAGGGCAGGTATAATAATGCAAAAACAGTTTTTTTGACAATATTTATATTGTTTTTTTTTTTTAGAGTAACCTAAAAATTACTAACCAAAGTTTGGTATCACCCGTATAGTGTGCACACGGTAAGCCTACTACGCCTGACCCTCGTACTATCTAGCTAATGATAATATACTCTCCAAAATAAGTTAGAATGGCACTATTATCTCCTAAGGTACGATGGTATGTGCTTTCCGATTCTACGTCCGTTCCTTCCAAGTTGGAAGGACTCAAACATTACAAATACCATGGCACTATTCGGTTTAATAAATCCTCATTGGCACATAGTACCTACGTATATCCAGGTGATGTTCCTATAAAAGGTAAGAACGTAAAAATGACTGAAATAATGTTCAAGACTCTTGTTTTCAGTCTGAAATAATTTTATTTAAATGTAAATCAAACATAAAGAAAACACTAATTCGAAAACCGTCTCACCTTCGTTTTTACCAAATCACTCGGTGACAACGGGATTGCCCGCGCCTGCGCGTACCACGGTGTTATAAAGCAAAATAATAATGTCGCCTTAGCACATATTGCCTCGCTAGCCTGACCAATATTAACAATGAACAGCCTAAATTATTCTCACCAATATTACATAATAAATATTAAATAATATTATATTAACGATTGTCTAAAATATAAGGCAATATAGATAAATGAGATTAGAGATGTTCTGAGTAGAAAATCTGGTATAAAGCCGGGTACCGAGTACTGGCCGAGTAAAATTTATAGCACTAACCGGGTATCGAGTATTGGCCGAGTAAAAATTTTAACACTAACCGGGTATCGAGTATAGGCCGAGTAGAACTGTAAATACAAAATTTGTATTATACTAAAATCAAAGTAACAAGTATCAAATTTATAAACATTAGACAGAAAACACTAGATTTATTTTTGTAATTTGTAGATAAAAAACATGATTTCCTTATAATTATCTGGCTATTGTAATTCGGTTCAGTTATGTACCAAAATAAATTATAATTTATCACCCTACAATTTTAGATTTTTCCCGTTATATTAATTATAGGTATGCATATATTTATAAATAGATTATAAAAATTTTCCATTGGATATGAGTCGAGTAAAAATGAAGATATTACGCCGGTACCGAGTAATGGCCGGGTAAAAATGTAGGTATTACGCCGGGTACCGAGTAAGAGTCGAGTCTTAAATATGATATCGAGTACCCGGCCATCGAGTAATTGCCGGGTACCCGGAACATCTCTAAATGAGATTTTCTCTAAATGTTTATAATTCCATTTTCCGTAAGTAGGTACAAGATTATATTTTCAAAATATTTAAAAATTTTTTTGACCTATTTATATCTTAATTTTTACATTTTTTTTAGATTCTGAGTGGATCGATAAATGTATTGATGTTATAATGATCTTTTTTTTGTATGTGTTTGTACACAAAAAGTAGTCGAAATAATACTTCGATTTTCAACTTTTGTAGCTTTTCATATAAGAAAATGAATCTGGTTGATGCATTGGGAAGGTAAACATTTAAATCGTTTTCAAAAGCACCTGGGAAAAAAAAATTAAGGAGAAACCGGTTGGATAAGATCGAATTTGGGTTTTGGTGTAATTCTAAAACAAATGACCCTAAATAGATATTACATGACATTTTCACTGAATGTTCATATTATAATTATCAATACATACAAATTGAAAATTGACAAATTATTTTGACTTATTTTGATATATTACCTATTTGTTTTGAACTGTTTACGGACATTTTCAGTTTCTAAATTTTTTAGTTTTTTTTTTCTACAAATGTTAATAAAATTGTATTCGTTGGGTAAAAACCTTGACAATTTAATTCGAGGCTCCTTATATATTGTTACAATGGCAGTTGAAAAATATTTCAATTTTTATGTATAGAAAATAATAAAATAAAAACATTTGGTGAAAATTACAAGTACCTACCTACGTTAATTAGTTTTTCAATTACAATAAAATAAGAAAATTCCTATGAGATTTTGTTAATTTAAGGTTAAATATCCAATGTCTAACTTCAGATGCTCATAAAAAAATAATGTCCATTTAAGCTCAACTTTTTTTTTAATTTCTACTGACAACAACTTTTGATAAACTTTGTGTTAGATTTTCAAGTTTTTCAAACAAGCATAATATTTTTGTGGACAATAATTTTTAAAAAAGTAATAAAAATCGAAATTTTCTTCTGTCTATAAATAGCTTAAAGAGAGTCAAAATATTTTGATTATGTTATTGTGTACAGAAAATAGTAGGTAATATAAACATTCGGTGAAAATGTAATTTAACTGCGTTACGGTTATTTTTTTTAGAGTTACACCAACAAATAACAAAATTGACTTTGTAGAAAACTAGTTTTGCGTAAAAATGTCTGTTTTCCTTATATTTTTTTTCCTGACATGAAAAATAATTTTTGATTTTTGAGTAACATTTTTCACTTTTGGTTAATTTTTTCCCAGAGTACCGATTAGATTCACTTTTCCACCAGTTGAAGTAGAAAATTGAGAAATTCTTATTTGCGAAAAAAAGTAATGATGGACAAAAAAAACTGACATTGTAAAATTAATATAATTATCGGTCCGCTTGAAATCCAAAAAAGAATAGGGAGGGGACCATCCCCCATAACCCCCAAGGGCCAAGTGTATAAGCCCATGATTCCTCATTAGTTTTCTACCTTTATCAAAAAAAAAATGTCTACCAGAAAGTCAAATTAAATTTTTATGAGCATTTGAAATTCAAATTTTTACAACATTGGATATACCTCGATTTCTCATGTAGCGATTACCCTATTTTGTTGTAATTCAAAAACGAATCCCTGCCATAACTTATAGTTTACAGGTTCTATATCAGTTTTAAATATAACATATCCTCAAAATGAGTTGATTGTATATTATCTGTAATTAATCATTTAAATCTGTATTTCATCCACTTATTGCTGGAATCCAGAATGGTGCAAAGAAGATTTTTTTGTCAATCTTAATGGTTGCAATTCGTTACATATTATATTAATATTATAATTAGAAGAAATATGGTATGTACATTTTGTACAAATATATTTATTAAAAATACAAATCTTTGGCCTGGACAACGTCGGGCAGGATAGTTAGTTTATAAATAAATAAAAATTAAGCCCTACCACAGGATGTAATGGAATGTAATGGATTTCCTAACCTATGCACCCAGTAATAGTAAGATCTTTAATTTGTGTCTAATGGGTAAAATATCGTCTGTTTCAGAAAATATAGGAGATGAGGGATATAAATACCAAACCATAAGCATTTTATTCTCTAATTATTATTTTTTAACCGGTCTAAAGAGTTCCTGGAGTACATTAAATAACCAAACAGCCTTAGGTTTTATAGACATAAAATACTATATTCCATGGATTCGTGGAATTTTGAACAAACATACACTTAAAAACGTCTCTGTAAAGGTATACATTTTACTTTTTCATTTACTGTATTGGATTGTCTTTTTAATGATAACTTCTGCTTCAAAACTAGCATATTTAGAAATAATAGATGTTTGTAAAATTGAATATGTTGGCAGGGTACAGTGAATTCCAGCGTTCTACCAACTATCAGTAAGTATTGTATAGTAATTTGTATGTAACTGATTTAAATATTATGAGTTTGATTTTTAGTTACGTTTAATTATACTTTGTTTATGTTTATAGAAATGTGTCCATCTCTATTATCATATAATTTAGATATTATATGCACTCTTAATGGTGAGTATGCTGATTGCACAAATCCATCGATACCTGACACAATAGCAACAGCATCGTGTAAGCCAACATATAGTGCACCAAATGGACAACAAGATACCCCACTAAAGTTACTTTGCCAGTCTAATGGAATGTGGAATAAGCAATTACAAACATGCAAACTATGTAATTGTATTTTTTGTCATAAAAACATAAGTCTTTAATTTATATATGTTTAATTATTTCATTAACTTGTAGTGTTAACAAAAAAACATTTGCCAGTGAGCATAGTCAATTTATGTGTCCTTTAAGACATGTTAAACTATGTCTTATGTGACACGTTCTACTTTTACTATGCGTTTGGACATTAGTTAGTTAATAAATTAATCAGGGCTTTGAACCCGAATGATTTATTCGGGGTTCGGGTGTTGGGTGCTGCATGTATTCGGATGTTCTAACACTAGAATAGACAAATTAAACCAACTTTTCGGTGTTTTAATATATAATAAATTTACTACCGTTATTATTCGGATTAATATTGGATAATACGGGTGTTTAGTAGTTAAAAAACACATAATTTTTTATAGTTATTTTTATTAGATATTTTTTTAAATTTTTAATTGCTTAGAAATATGTCCTATAACAATGTTATTATTAAACAAACAATTAACTCAAAAATCGAACCAACAACATACGTTGTATACAAAATGATATAACTCATGAAGATCATAAAATAAAACATAATTATGGTGGTTTCTGGTTAACCTGCCGAATGTTTTATTTAGTTTTTGGTTAATTCAGGCGTTTGATTTTTCAAGAGTTTTTATGGGTGTCACGGGTTCTGTTAATTCAGGTGCAAGGACTTGGAATCAACCAAATGCTTTTATTTATGTGACATTTATTTACAAATGTAAAAATTATTAAGGAAGAACAAATAATCGTTAGGTTAGGCGTAATCGTTTAATGTACATTTAGGTTAGGTTAGACCGTCAACAATATGTCTATGCTATAGGTATTATTACTTTTTACTTATTATCATTTATATTATATCTTAACTTTAAATGCATAAATTTAATAATGTTTAAATTCTTTAAAACGTTTAAACTCATAAATTGAATAACGTTTAGATTTTTTATAACCTTAAACAGTCATTGGATCATAACATACATAAAACGGTAAATGGTATAATGATTTTTGATTTAAGCTCTAATTCAAGCGAATTTATGCGTTTTACCAACTGTCGAAGGAGTTGTATATACTTATGAAGATTCAAATGAAATTTTATCTCACGGGACATTAATTAATCATACCCTGACTGTAAATGAGAACTGTGAAGTTGGATATCATAAAGCTTATCCCAATAGTTTTAGAGTTTGTCAGAGAAATGGAAAATGGAAAACTGTTTCTGAGAATTTATGTTTAAGTAAGTTGTGTATTGTAATTTGTCTGTTGTGATAATAACTTGCCTATTTAAATATTACGAGTCGGATTTTTGGTTATGTTTGATTATAATATTTGTTTATGTTTATAGAAATGTGTCCACCTCTATTATCAGATAGTTTAGATATTAAATGCACTCTTAATGGTAAGCATGCTAATTGCTCAAATCCATCGATACCTGACACAATAGCATCACCATCGTGTAAGCTCACATATTCTCTACAAAATGGACAAGAAGAAACACCACTCGACATACATTGTCAGTCCAACGGATTATGGAATAATAAACTATATAGATGCGTACCATGTAATTGTATTTTTTATTATATAAATATAAGTCTCTGATTTACTTAACACTTACTGTATTCTTACTCTTATAATTAATTATAATTATATTAAAATATTATTTTAGATTGCGGTAGAGTTTATATCAAGAGCCAAGTATTGATAAACAATGGTGAAAAAGCAACTGTTGGAACGGCGCCTTGGAATGTAGGAATATATCGATTAAATAAAAAAAATTTCAATTATGATTTGATATGTGGAGGATCAATTATTTCTCCAAATTTAGTCGTTTCTGGTAAAATATCTGTACAACGAACTTATGAAAAAAAGAAAAATTAATAAATATCATTTTTAGCTGCTCATTGTTTTTGGGAAAGAGGTATGATATCGAATACAATAGCAGTAAATGATGATCGGTACAAAATTGCTGTTGGAAAATATGCTAGGAATTTTACAGTAATTGACAATAAATTTACTGAAATAATAAATGTAAGTTATTAATAATTTAATGTCTACTAATAATATGTATAATATATTAATATGTATGTATAATATAAATTTAAACAATTGTATAGGCGGAAATTGTCTACCTGAAGGCAGGTTACAATGGGCATATTGGGTCTTATGCTGAAGATATATCTATTGTGGTGTTAAAAAACAGAATTTCTTTTAGTACTGTTGTAGCACCGGTTTGTATCGATTGGAAAAGTAAATACAACTTATCCAATGGAGATCAAGGAAAGGTTGGTTGTAAATAATTCATGTAAATATTACACATACCTAGTAAAATTATTAAAATTGTAATTCTATTACATTTTGATTACTCTACTTATCGCAATCGACTATTGTCCATTTGAATTTAAAGAGTAAATACCGTGAGATTATATGCTAAAGTCTGCATAATCAAAAGAAAATTAAGGAAAACTGGAATTTTTCGGTTTTCCACAAAATCGATTTAGGTTTTTGTTTAACCCCTAAAAATATTACCGTAGAGCGTAGATACATGCAATTTTTACTGAATGTTTGTATTAGCAATGCTATGCAGCATACTTTTTTTTAATATCAGCTTAAAATTAATAAAAATACACAAACAACATTTTTTTTTACAAGCTTTTAAAGTTTAAAATTTGATATATTTTTTTTAAATTAAAAACTTAAATTATTAAGGAGTTGAAAATGTATAAAATATAGCTAAGGATTAAAAATGTATAACAAGTTCCATATATAAGTATAGTTGATTCTGTAACCAAAAAATAAATAAAAAATATATAAACTTTTGACGAACTTTAAAATATTGTCAAATTTTAATCTTTATATGCTCATAAAACAAAATCATGCCTATGACATATATTATTCTTATTTCATATTTCAAATCCCAAAAATAAAAAATATTGATCAGTAATAACACACATTCTCAACACTCACATAAAAAGTGATTAATATTATACGTTAAATATGATTGTAAATTATACAACTATTTTATACTTTTACAGATTGTTGGTTGGGGAACAACGGAAAAAGGCATTGATAGTCCTATTTTATTAGAAGCATCTTTACCATACTTTAACAATAGTTTTTGCCGGAATATATTTAAAAACGGATTTGAATCATTTGTGACTGTTGATAAGTTTTGTGCTGGTTCTTCATCGGGTAATAAAATATTTAAACACTATTGTCTAATATCATATATATCATTGATTTTTTTAACAAACTTATCTTAAATTTATTTAAAATTGAATTTTGAAGATAGACACGTTTAAAAATGAAGAGATTAACCTAATTTTTATTAAATTAATAAATCACATTTTACAATTAGTATAATAATACAAAATATGATTCTATAAAACTAACAAACAAACTATATACCTACTGCTTATAAAATACGTATTGATTGTACGTTGAGCGTCACAATGCCATAACTATTTTAAATTCTGAGCGGAGCGTTTGAACTACAACAAAATAAGAAAACCACTACAAGATAAATCGATAGAATATCCAAAGTTGTAAAAATTTGAATTTCAAACTCTCATAAAAATTTAATTTGACTTTTTTATAGACATTTTTTTTTTACAAAAGTAGATCAGATAACCTTATAAGGAATCTTGTATTACATTTTAAAATCTCAGATTTAAAAAGAAAAAATTTAAGGAATTTCTAACTTAAAATTCTATAAATCAAATTTTTATGTTGTTTTTCCCGGTGTTTTTGAAAACTTTTGGGAATGTTAAATTTTGACATCCTGAATGCACCAACTATAGATTCACTTTTCCATCAAACAAGATATTGTTCGGAGCAGTTTTACTGCCCAAAAACCGTTAAGACAGACACAAAAAAAAAAACCAAGTATTATTGTAAAATCAATACATTCACCAGATATCAATACACCACTCAGAAACTAAAATGTCTACCTGAAACTCAAATTAATATTAATTTTTATAAACGTTTGAAGTTCAAATTTTTACAACATTGGATATTCACTGGATTTCTCATGTAGCGGTTTTCTTATTTTATTGTGATTCAAAAACGAATAACTGTAGACACTTGAGATATATATCATATGTTTATTTTATCACTTCCTATACTTACTCTGAAACATTGAAAATATGTCATTGGGGGGAGGATCTACTTCCTCATCACCACCCGTTTTACTGCCACTGTTGACTGTTGTACCTATTACCCAATATAACAGTCGTATAATTGATTTAGGTATTATTTATAACTTAACACAATAACAGACTTAAGATTGTTAATTAATATTAATTTGTGTCTAACGTTGAAAATATATTTAGTTTTAGGACAAAGAGTGGATAAGGGAGATAGTGGTGCAGGTTTATGCTTTTTACACTCTAATTTATATCATTTAACCGGAGTAGTGAGTTCCAAGGATCCAGAAACAACAAATTCAATCGCAATTTTTACAGATGTTAAGTACCACATTCAATGGATTCATAGCATGTATATCAAACATAACTAAGTCCAATATAATTATATGTAGTAATGTTATAAAAATTATTTATTATAATTGACGAATTGTAATTGAAATATATTTATAAATAGTTTTTTTACCTATGTGTAACAATGTTTAACAGTTCATTGAAATTAAACCTAATATAGGTACGTATGTCATAAATCATTATACATATTAATCATATTATGCAATACCAAAGTATTTTAAATATATATATTATAATTGACACTTATTAAATTCAAGTTTTAGCATAATATACCAATTTCCCTTTGTACATTGTTTCATAATTATTACTAGGTATTGTGCATTTAATTTGAAATAATTACTTGTCTTATTATTTCTTTTGATCAATTGCATTATTCTTACGTACATTGAAAACAATGATTTGAATCAAAGAACGATTTAACGGTTCATTTTAAAATATTTATTATTAATATTGTACCCATATAGGTACAATATCTCTCGTTACACAGATATGGGGATATGTTCGCTACGCTGTCCTCATTACTACTAAACTGGATTCTTATCTACGATATTGTAGACACCTTAGCTACCACTTAGATGTTTAAAAGGGTACCCGCCGTTTTTCCCGAATCGAAATTCCCGAATGAAGTTTTTCCCGAATGGTATTTTGCCCGAAAATCCAAAAACCCGAAACCTTTTTTCCCGAACGCGTTTTTCCCGACGGTTATTGTTCCCGAAATAAAAAATTTCAAAATTTAATTAATAGCATATTGTCGCAGCCCGCGGGCGACGTATGTGGAGATAAAGATAATATTTATAAAAAAGTACAGGTATCTTGCCTTTATCGCACTTCACCGCCGTTATATGAACATTCAACTGATTTGTATTTTACACTGATATCATAATTACATTGTAATCGTAGAGTCGCTTACTCGCGTTATTTGCGTGCTATCGGCAGTCGATTGCGCATAATATTGTTTTGTAAGTAATAATTATTAATATTGTTTATTTTATTTTTTATATGTATTTATTTTTATTGTACAATATAGACAGATTGGCCGCTTTATACTTACTTATTATAAAATATGATCGATTTTTAAATATTTAATTATCACACTATCACTATACCTATGTTTTAAATTATTATTATTTTTATTTTTTATAGTATGTATTTATTTTTATTATACAACATAGGCGATTGGCCGCTTTATACTTACTTATTATAAATTATAAATTATAATATTATTATTCGATTCGGGTAAAAAGTGTTCGGGAAAAAAGATTTAGGGTATACTGACTTTCGGAAAAAATACCATACGGGAAAAAGTTCATTCGGGAATTTCGATTCGGGAAAAAGGCGTTCGGGAAAAAAGGTTTCGGGTTTTCGGAATTTCGGGAAAAATACCGGTAACCGTTTAAAAGTTAAAACTAAGAAAATTGGAAACCCAAAATGTCCGTCAACAAGACAAAACAAGGCAAAATATTTTGAAAATTGTATGGTGTAGAGAAAATGCTAATTTACCTAATAATATGAATATTCAATGAAAATGTAGTTTATCATTAGTCATTTGTCATAGAGTTACTCCAAAAACCAAAATCAATGTCGAAAACTGATTTCAGTCTAAAAATTTCCGTTTTACCTTAATTTTTTTTTTGGATTTTTTTTACTGTTTACTCCTTTTTACTATTCTAAAAGGTGATGATAGACAGAAAAAAAATTAAAAAACACATATTGTAATATAAATACATTTATCCCTAAACTCAGAAACTAAAATAAAGCATTTTTTTTTTATTGGTCATAAACTCTTAACCATCAGAAAATATGGCCGTTAACTTTTCGTGGGGGGAATAACCGTTGGTTGGTTGAGGAAAACACTTGCACATGTGATGTGATGTGGGGCGAGGATTCGTCTCTAGAAACCCTGGGGGTCACCCATCCGGGTGCTAGTGACGCCGGATGATACTTGAACCGCGTCACATTAGGCTCCTAAATAAAGCTGTTTATATAAAATATAATATGTACGTATAAACAAAATACTAATATAAATTATAATGTAATATTAATATATATATTGTCTGTATATTTATGTATATGTATACACACGTATATATACAAAATTCTAGAAGATAAATAAATTATAAATTATTATAAATTATTTAATAACATGCTATTTATAGTCTAAGTTACAAATTTGACTTATTAGTTATTATTATTCAACATCTCTTTAAAAAAAAAATGTTCTTATTTTATGTGCCCATTTATGACACGAAACTTTCGTCAGGATTCGACTCTGAACTCAATGGTTAACACCTATCATTTATCAATTTTATCAATTTTATCAATTCCATGATAAATGTAGTTGAATGCGTTGATACATGGGCAATGCCAATGGAAAATGAAGAACCGCTAACGCTAGAAGTTAAATATTTACAACAAAAACTTGATGACGACGAGGACGAAGACGCTGTACTAGGTGACATTATATGGTTGTTTGTGAACATGATACTGTCGAATGCACGATCGAGGTAGGCAGCGGAGACGATGCAGCAGTAGTCACGGCACCCTCCGACACGCTCGGACCAGCCGAGCAGAGCCACGGATTTACAGCAGGCCAAAGACCAAGTGCAGGTACAAAATGAAAAGGCAGACATCATTCCATCTGTGGGGGTCGAAGAAAGGGACACGGATATGCTGGACGGAAAGAACCCACTGAACACAACCGTCACTGCAGTACCGAGCAAAAATCCACGTGGTAGGACAAGGCGGTTATTCTCCGCCACGTGGAAGGGAGCGAAGCGCCTGCTGCTCTGTGGTTGTTGCCGAAGGACTTGAAGAAAGCAGCGTAGTGAACCCTCTCCCCCAGATGAAGACACCAAGACAAGACGGCGGCGACGTTAGAGTGGTACGTGAAAGAGCACTTTACGGTGCCCGGCGGTAAGTCACCCTATACGTTTTCCGGCCACCAAAGTTGTACTAGCAGCACTCCCAGATCGATCACCTGGTCGTCCTGATAAGCAAAGTTATTTGCAAGCTGTTTGACTGAATCCAGGTTACCGCGCAACAGAGCCCGAGTCGTTAGTGCGTTTCCCACCTGTTCGGTGTGATCTCTCCCGCCAGGACCACGTATTTGCACTCAGCTAACGTGGACCATCTATCAGTAGTCAGTCAAGGTACTCCTGAGAGGTGTTCGGAGAAGTAATCACCCGACCCGTCATCTAAAGCGCAAGAGAGCTAAAGGCGGCCTTCTCATCTCAAGCACTTCTTACGAGGCGGACGTCTGGGACGCAATTATTCGATAGCATGCCACCGGTTGATTCACGTAATCAACCGTAAATGGGACGTTGGGACGGTGTTAGTAAGCATTTAAATTTTAAAGCCAGTATCCATCTGTCAACTCCGTGACACCCAGCGAAACTCACAGGCCTCACCCTTTGGCTGTGGTTTTGATAGATATAATTCACAGACAATAAATGTTGTATGTTTTTAGTGGTAATCGGTCAAAAAGTCTGGATTCATTAATTTTTTGATTATCGGACAAAAAGTCCGAGCACATTTTTTTTTACTGTCGGACAAATAAAAGTCCAACAGATAACATACCGCGATTACCGACTAATACTAATATTATATTTTAACTGTGTTTATATAATTATTGTACATTTGTGATTTATACATATTATATCATTCTATCAATAAAATTATAAAGGGGAAACCTGGGTAAAACGTAAAATGTACAATTACTTTTCTAGTATTTTTATTATACTTACCTACAGCAGGCTTACAAAATATCACTTATTAATTTATACACAATATACATATATTTAAATGGACAATATAAAAGTAAGTTAAAAAAGCAGGTAAGTGGATGTCGCTCTGCTGTACAGTAGGTTACAATTGGGTCAATGTATAATGGATTGTATTAAACTTGAATTCAATGATATAATATCATTGTATAAGAAAAACGATTCTGAGCGAAGATGGTTTATCAGTCTGGATTGTTTTAATTTTATTATTTATTATAGCCTTTAAGTTGATTTAATATTATAATATTATAAGGTTATAATTTTTTATTCGTTGCTACGGTGATAAACAAATCGTTATAAATTAAAATCCCATTTTAATATTCTGTGATAATATTGACATGCTACGATATTTTCTACGTCAACTTCTCCTGACACCGATATCAGTACTAAAATATTATTTAAAGGGAAAACAACAATAGCACACATAGAGACACGTGGCATAAATAAACACCCCCTTCGTGCAAATAGTGCCAAAAAACCAACGATGACATGTAAAACACAACATAGATGCACGAACATGCGCACCATCAAACATTCACTCAAGCAACAAAATATCAGTGCTAAAATATTAAACAAAGGGAAAACATTAATAGCACATATGAACGCATGACCATGGACGTAAATAGGGAGGGGGGCTTAGGAGGGCTTAGCGCTCCCTGATCTATCTAAACTCTAAAGCCCTCCTTAAGATATTCTAATATATTGATAATCTTTATTCTTTATTATAATAAATTATAAACATAGAAATAGTTATCTAACAAAATAGATAACAAACATATTTTAAAGAAGTTTTATGAGAAGGAAATAACGATGCTATTATTATATAATATGTATTTTATAAAACTGTATAAATGTACACAATAATCCAATAAATAAATGTACAGTTAATTTGTCATAGTTTTGAATCGTATCATAGATAAAATTATGTAATAATAGCGTGGGTGGAAGACAAATATCCCACTCTTTTTGTACTTGAAACCCTTTTGGGCCAAGCCCTATGCATTTGAGGACCATATTTATGTCCATGCGCGTGACCTAACAAAACACCCCCTTCGTGCAAATATAGTGCCAAAAAACCGATGACAATATGATAAATCACATCACGCAATCAATGCAAGTGCGTGCGCAGTTCACGTGGCAAACAATCAATAACAATTGAGTGGGGATAAAACAATCACTTTTCTATATAATATAGGTACACAACGAACAAACAATACACATACTCATTCCGTGGTAGCAACTCACAACCCTCATACGTCGGCGCAATCAAAGCACATAACGACGTCAAGGACGCCCAAAATGAAAGTTCTAGGCAATTGGGCATCGTCATTATTTTCAAAAAATATTTATATGTATATTTTATATATTTTGTATAAAATTACGAAGTATACATTTCGAATTCTACACTGTAGTACACTGAATTCTAAAAATAGACGAGTTTATCTACTATCAGTGTATTACATGACTGTGCAACACGTAGCCCGTAAATATTGACTTATTCTTGGTTTGTTAACAATTTTTAATACATACAGTTAGTTTTATTTCTGACATTATTATAATTATCAATAAGTGATATAATTATATATTTTTTTTAATTTTGACCCCGAACGTAGAATATATAGATTCACAATTCTACCGACAAGATACTGTTGAAGAAAATCGAAGCTTTTTTACTGCCCAAAAAGGTGACGACAGTCACAAAAAATGAATTTTAAAATTAAAAACAAAACCCCCATCATTGCAAAATCAATACATTCATCACAACACTCAGAATCTAAAATTAAGGTAAGTTTCGAATTTATAAGCAAAACCTTATTTTGATAGTCAAATTTTTTTTGGACCAAATCAAAACCACAGACACATAAATATGTCCATTGAATGTTTATTCGTGGGTAAGTACTTAAAACTTTTGGTTGTATTTAATTCACACAATGACATAATATTACTATTAAAATTCAATGTTTTCGACAAGAATTAATTCAACTTACTCAGTGACGCATGAACTATTTTTCATGTGTGTGTGTGTGTGTGTGGGGGGGGGGGTGGCAAAACATAAAACCCCTAACAACTATTATACATTTATTTGTGATCTATAATAGAAAACCTTTCTTAATACTTTATTCCTTTAATGCTAATATAGATTCTAGGTAATATATTATAATACAAGAATTATATAAATGTATTGATATAATAACTATAGTATAATATAAATATTATAAAGAAATTATTAAACGTAATTTAAGATTGTATACCTTTTAATTGTCCCCCTCTGCCCCCCTTCTCCGACGCCACTGAACTTACTGTATAATCAATAATAAAACAAATAACTTTAATAGCAATAATATTATAAAATATTATATATTGTTTCATTCTAACCACTCAAAATCTTTCACATATTAATAACTAATAAAATATATGAATTTATTAAGTTTGTTTTAAATGCCATCTTTAAGGGCCAGTTGTACCGCAACTCTTTTCTCATTATATTATTTTATTTTCCAGTATTGATAGATAAAATGAGATACCGATAAAATAACCCTAACCACAGGCGTAGCTAAATAGTCTATCTATTACGCCGTGTGATATGAATATACATACAGTATCCAATAATTAAAATAATAAATAATGTTAGGTATTGAAGAAAATAACAGCATTATTAGGTACAAGAAACATAATAATAAATCAAAAGTGTTACATATAAACGTAGAGATATAAATTAATACTTAAAATAGTTGTTGGTCATTTATTTTAATTTTACTGACCTTATAACAATATAACCGTTGTGGCGTACACTCGCTCACAGGAGACGGTGACAGGATAGGATGATGGGTGGTTGAAATACTCAAAAGGGAACAGTCTTTGTTGTTTCACAATATTAAAATATTGTATTTTAAGAGGACGTCGCACCCGCATGTGTCGTCTCCGTCTTACAAACGTACGTCATAACTTTTACAGAATATATCTATGCATATTTATAAATTCTACTATTACATAAATTATTGTTTTGTTTTATATGGTGATTGGTGGATAATGGCGATATTTGTTCAGTAATGCTGTACAAATGGAATACAAATCGATTTCAAATGCTATAAGAACATGAAATATTGCTTTTTAGGAACACATTATACGGTATACCACCCTATAATAATATTATAATATAAATAAAATAGTTGTTGTTTAAAATGTGTTCAGTGTACCTGCATTACAATATTCTGAATAACCAGTATTAACTACATAGGTATAAAATGTATAGCTATTAGCTACGTCAACAAATCGTAAGCTGTATAACAAGTTAACAAATCACTTATTTTTCATTACCACCACCACCTATCCGTGTTGTTTGTCCTTCGGCAATACCTAGCTGGTAGAAATAACATAATAATAACAAGTCTAGCATCTCGGTATATTAATATAGTTGTTAAGTGTTGTAGAGTTGTATTGGTTTTGTCGAATATTTCACAATGTTATCATACATATACCTAAATTAAAAATTAATCAATTCTATTCAGATATTGTAAGTGTTTAATGTAGGTATATCCTATTACAATATGCATTGTATTTTGCTACACTAACGTGCTAGAAAATGTACGGTAAAACAAGTTTATAGTCTATAGTGGTGTTTATTTTAAATAACTTCTGAATAAAGTTTGTGTATACTGTTTATATTTTTAAATATATTTGTTTTAATCTCAGCTCAACATTGGCAATGGAGGTGGCGTATTCCAGGATAATAATATATTCATGTTTAATTTTCGGTACGTAATACCAGTTTTAACAATATAGTAATAAAAAGAAAATTATATTTTTATAACTTTACAATTATCATAAAACGCATCATATTTAAATATTAAATATACAGCTGATATACCTATCCTAAAACTAAAGAGATTTATAAATGTGTTCATATAAGGTGAAGAGTTTGAATACAATTTAGTATTATTAACAAAAATATTAATGAAAATGAAATGAGGAAACGGGAAAAGTTAAAATTTCCTGAAAAATAAACTCTATAAAATATTAAAATGGTTAATTGTATTATTGGTTTCAAAAATCAAAAATCCAAAAGATTTAATTTAATTAAAAAATACAATATAACATGTAGTCTTTGTCTCCGTGAATATAAAAAAAAACAGATTTATGATATATTTATTATCTCAGGAGATATCGCAATGGGTAAATCCTCTCGGGACATTCTGAATCTTCCTCTACATATTATTATGTACTGTTTATATGTGTGCGTACGTTTTCTATGTAAAATGGTTTGAAATTTGAATTAATGAAACATTTAATTAAAATAGGGCTGTAACAATATATTATAATTCAGAAGATAATGTTTTGTTTTTAGATTCTGGGCGGAGTGATGAATGTATTAATTTTACAATGATGTATGTTTTTTTTTATTTGTGTCAGTTTACACGACAAATAGTCGAAATAATGCTTCGATTTTCAACTTCAGTATCTTGTGCGATGGGAAAGTGACTCTAGTTGGTGCATTGAAGAGGTCATAATTTGAAATTCCCAGTAATTTTTAAAAGCGCCGAGAAAAACAAAAAAAAATTAAGGAAAAACTGGAATAATCTGATTTTGGTTTTTGGTGTAACTCTAAAACAAATGCCCTGGAAATTTTCACTGGTTCTTCATATTAGCATTTTCTATACACGATACAAATTTCTGTATACAGACATTTAAAGTTTCCAACTTTTTTAGTTTGTTTTTTCTATGAATGTCAATAAAATTATATTTGTTGGGTAAAAAATCTTGGAATTTTAATACAAGGCTCTTAATATATTCTTACATTGAAATTTGAAAAATATTAAAAATTCATAGTAACAATTTTTGTTTATAAGCATTTAAAGTTCAAAAATTAACAAAATATATAAAAATCACGAAAATTAGCAAATTATTTTGAGCTAAGAATTGGAAAAAATTTTTCTTTTTAAATTTAAGATTTTAAATTGTTAAACAAGATTTCTTATAAGATTATCTACCTTTATCAAAAAAGAAATGTCTATAAGAAAGTCAAATTAAATTTTTATGAGCGTTTGAAATTCAAATTTTTACAACAATTTTCCACAAAATCGATTTTGGTTTTTGATGTAACTCTAAAACAAATGAACGTTTACCTAAACATGCAATTTTCACTGGTTGTTAATATTTGCATTTGCTATACACAATAAAATTTTCAAAATATTTTGATTTGTTTTGAATTGTTTAGGAACATTTGCTGTTTTCAATTTTATTAGTCTCTTTTTCAATGAATTTTAATAAAACTTTATTTGCACGTCAAATAGGTAAATATATGAATTACTTTATTCACAGTAATATCATCAAATAAACAATTAGCAATAACTATGCCAACAGAAACGTTACAATTGAGTTTTTTTCTAATTTTATTATAGTATTATATTATATAAATCAAAGTTGGGCATTAACTATTTAAAAAGTAAAAGTTAAGTTAAAAAATTAATTTTTTTTTAACTTTTTAACTTAACTAGTTACCTAGTTTATTTTCTAATCAACTTATGAAATTAACTAGTTTAATTTACAGTAATATTTTATTAAGTTAAATATTATATATATAATGCGAGTTACAATTATAAATTTTTTTAATAAAATTAATAATTTTAAATTATAAATTGACAATCGTTATATTTTAATGTTATATAACTTATAAATTATAATATATATAAAAGTCATGTACTCATCTTCACGTATTATGACATTGAATTGCTATACGATATAAAAAAATTATATATATGTTAAATTATTAATTTGAGATGAGTATAGTTTAAATTAGTAAATAATAGTATTGTAAAAGTAAAATGGTCAATTATTATTTTATTATTTATATATAATATATATATGCCGATCGGCAATTTTATGATTACATTTAAAATTTAAAAAGGTATACCATGTACATTATGATAAAAGTTAAATAAAATTGTTTTTTATAATTTATAAATTAGAAACTAGAAAGACACATTCACTCTTTATGTGTACATATACTAATTAAAAAAAAACAGATTAACTTTTTTTAAACTGAGTTAAGTTAATATTTTTTTCTATATTAACTTCTAACTCATCAAGTTAAATTTATAATTTGTTAACTGTTAAATTTAACTTATCGATCTTGTGTCCTCTTAACTTAACTTAACTTGAGTTAATTATTTTCATTAACTTGCCCACCTTTATATAAAATAACATGAGATTTGATTGGGTTTGAATTAAGACAAACATAGTATTAAGTTCCAAGCTGCGTGGACTAACATTATATTTTTAAAAGTGTTTGCTTACCACAACACACCAGCCAACAGGACTACTAAGTAAGAACTAACTACAAACTATAGTACTGTAATAGCTGTACCTATAATAGTAACTGGTAGCTATAACTTGTAAGTTGGAAACTGATATACATTATAGCCTATAGGTAGTAGCTGTAGCCTGTAGGTAGGTATTAGGTAGCTTATAAGTAATAAGTTGGAAACTATAATATAGTATAGGTAGTATAGTGTAGTACTTAATTGTAAGTTGGAAGTTGTATCACTGACAGAACACACCAAAACGACACAGTGGTAGATGATAGTAATAATTAATATGATAATATAACGATAATATTTTAATCAATAAATGTTTATACATTGTGTCATATTATTTATTATTTTAAATACTTACTAAGGGAAAACCCAACTTGTATGAATACTAATACAACTAGCATCGTTGCCATGTGTTAGGTCATAAAAATATTACTAATTAACACACAAAAATGATTTAATTAAATACAATTTTATTTGAACTAACCAAAACAATAGGTTAAATATGGGTTAGGGTTTATATTTTTTATAAACTTATAAGTCTAGTGTTAGAAAATTTCATGAAATTTTAAATTGTGAAATATTTCGTGTTTTAATAATTTTTTTTTTTTAAAAGTTTTATATTTGCATAATATAATTGTCATAATTTACCTTAATCATTTTATGGTATATTTTTACCTAACCTTTGTTCACTCATATTTTCTCTCTAATACCTAACTGCTGAGCTATAATAATTTAAAACGTTGAGGGCCACGAAGTATTTGGCACACAATGACGTCGTTCCCGCAATGACGTCAGCTGTCTGCGTGTAGACGTCGTCGTCCAGTGCAATGTTGGTTGTTTTTCGCTACAAACCTGCTTGTTATTAATGTTATTTAGTATTTGAATAATTAATATACAATAACAAAATGTACAAATATCTTATACCTGTAACAATAAATAATATATACTTATACGAATTCGGAATTAATACGAAATAATATTATGATGAAAGTTCCTTGTATTATTTTCGTTTATATAAATTAATTATGAAAATTATATAAATAACTAGTTGTCGCGCCCGACGTTGTTCAGGCCAAAGATTTGTATTTTTAATAAATATATTTGTACAAAATGTATTTACCTGCATATTTCTTCTAATTATAATACTAATATAATACCTATCACCTATGTGACGATTTATAAATTATAAAGCCATAAAGATGCCCAAACAAATTGTCAACTTTGTCTCGACCGTGGTACTCAATGTGTATTGAAAGATAAATTTAAAAAATATATATATAACTAAACTTTGGTATTAATGTATTATACATTTAAAATGGTATTCAACATTTTTATATAGCAAAAAAAACATACAAAAATGTTTGAAAGTTAAAATATACAGTTTTATAAATACCTATATACCTACTATAGTAATATGTCAACCACAGCATTCATATTCCATTAAAGGGCCTCACTACCAAGTCTTTTTTACGTCAAAAACTACTGTTTATAATTCCAACGATACGTGTCGACAATTATCACGATTTTCATTCTGAAAAGATATTCTGATTGTCCGTAATATATACAAGGGAACGATCGAGCCACATTTTTAATTTTTGTAATTTAAATTGCAATAAAAATTGTAAAAAAATCAAAAAAAATACAGAATTTCCAACTTAAATATTTAATTAACTAAATAAAATTTTAAAAATGTGCCTCGATCGATCCCTCGTACATGTTGAGGAAAATAAGAATATTTTGTCAGAATGAAAATCGAGGTAATCGTTGCGATGTACTGTTAGAATTAGAATCGTATGTTTAAGTGAAAAATAAGCATTTTTTCATGATCACAATATTATTATATATTGACATGAATAAGCGAGTGCGTGCGAGAGCTCTCAGCACCACTACAATTGCCCGCATGGACGCCACACACACTAATAATCATTTACGACTAACACATAGATCTCGGGTGGCGACGACGAGATTAGAAATTGCCTAAATGATTCTCCTTAAATCAATGCCATTGCGAGCCCCCCAATATATCAGTTATTATTATCTCTATTAGGTACTATATTGGACTGTATAATTAACAATTGATAAATAATAAAAAAAACTATCATTAATATTTGAATTAAAAAAATGTCAATGTTTTCGTGAAATAGTTCATACTTCAAACACTACTTAAAACTAGATAAAATAATTATTTTGAATTTAAAAAAAATATTATTGATTTAACAAATACAAATTATTTAATTAAGTACCTACAATTTTATTTGAACTAATCAAAACAAATACATAACTATTTTATTATATTAATAATACAAATAAGTTTTATTGAATTAACTATGTAAGCATCGTTGATTTAATAAATTCAAAATACTTAGTTTAATATAATTGTAATTAATTTAATCAAGATATCATTGAATGAATAATAGTTTGATTGGAATTATAATAACTAATTAGATGAACATTTATAAAATATTTTTGTCGATTCGTATAGTATTTCTTTGTTCAGTGAGTGTAAATGGAATGTAGCTTTCGAGTAAAACGAGTGATTTTGTTTTTAAATTTTATTGGCACTGGTCAACTTCCCCCCTCCCCTCCTATAATTATTAACTGAAAGTCTGAAAATATGATGAAATCGTACATATTAGCATGACAAATTAGACAGGTATCATCACAGACCACAGTTGTACTAGTTTTGCGCAGTAGATACGCATCTCCTTCACCTCCGGGCCTATATCGTAGTTCTCCACTTCTCATTGGTTGATTTTGTTGTATGTTATATATTTATGTATATGATTGACAGCCAATAAGAAGTGGAGTACCACGATAAATTAGAAGTAAAGAGCGGAGGATGTGTATCAAAATACTGTGATGATACCTATATAATTTGTCTTGCATATAAGTATATTACACATGAATGCATCATCGTACATAATACTATAATATGATACTATTGATTGTTGAATTCAAACCGCAAAAGTTGGTTGAAACAATAAATAAATATCTTATTCCACTAAACATTTTTTACGTATATTTTAATGCATAAGAATTCATTATTTCAGGAACTGGATTTCTGTGTGACGGAAAACTCGAAAGACGACAAGCAGTATCATCATGCTCAGAGTTGGTGACTGTAGTATAAATAATTAATATATTACCTATGTTATTAAAGGTAGCGAAAATAGTGGTGGTTGGGACCTCGAGGAATTAGTTTCATAAACACTTAATAAGCACCGACCTTCAATATACGATCTATATTTAATATTTATTTTTCATAGTACAATCTACACGCTATGATCAGAAAGATCAAAACTCCTTCTTTTTTAATTTTTATTAAGTAAAAAGTAACTTTATCTGCCTTTCTCTCAACTTTTTTTCTATTGTTAAACTTTTGACTACCCATAGGATATCGGATTCCACATTTAATTATTATATTATATTATTATGGTATTCAATCAAATCATTTATTGTTATCTTGAATCTATTTTATACTATTATCTTATTACGATTAACTTATCTTATTTTTAAAATATTTGGTGCACTGATTAACTTAGATAATATATACTGGATAGAGCTATGATGAGTATATCACTTGAAGCCGATTTGGTCGGCCCGTTTGGTTGAATTTCCGATGAAAAATCCGATTGAAAAACCGATGAATTTATTGGACATACGTCAGGAACGAAAAATATACCGCGAAACGAGGTAGGTAACATAACTGCGGTAACGTTTTGCGCATGTGTAGTGGTTTGCGCAAGCTCAGTGGTGACATCGGCGCTGAACGGGCCGACCAAACCTTCTTCAAAATTTTAAATCACAGCTCTATCCTGTATGTATATCTAACTAGTCTCTGATTCAGTTAACATGATAATATATCATGCAATAGCTTTTCAAGCAAATCTCATCATAATTAACTTTTTTTCTCGCTGATGGGTGAACTATCTATTGTATTGTTTAGGATGTATAAAGGCATTCTTAAATGTCGATTAACTTTAATATTTGCTTATAATTGTGTAATTTATATTTAAAAATAATTTGTTGCTCATTTGAATAAAATTATAGAAACAATGATGATAACTTTGTTTGTACAAATGGACTATGCATCGAATGGTCTTTGGTTTGTGACGGCCATAAAGATTGTTCAGATGGTTCAGACGAGACCAAAGAGTTGTGTGCTCGATACGAGTATGGAAAAAATATGAACATGGGTAAAAAATATTAGCTCAATGACAAATAATATTTTTTTTTATGTTAATGTAATAACTAATAGATGCTAAAGTTATGCATATTAATCAAAATATGTGGCTTCTAATATTACATCTAACGACATATCTAATTTTGTTTTAGATTGTGGTAAGGACGTTGGAAATAAAACGGTAGATGGAACACCTTGGCTAGTTTATATACATATGATGGAACCCAAAAGAGTAATTTTAGGGATAGGATCAATTATTGCTCCAAATGTAGTCGTTGCTAGTAATGTCTTAGCACAATGTATTTAAAGAGGAATGAAATTTAATTAATAATTGTTTTTAGTGGCTGAAACTTTTTGGAGATACGATTTAAAATATAAGCAAAATTTGATAGACGATGGGGGTGGATATTCGTATAAAGTTGAAATACTTGCAAGAAAAACTAATATTAATAATCCCAGTTATATCAATGTAAGTTATTAATAATTCAATATTTACAAATAATTTATATAATATTTAATATTTTTTTATTATGTACACTACAACGATTTCACAGGTAAAAATGATTTACTTTGTTGAAGATTTTAATACAAGTATGGCCTCTAATGCTTACGATTTAGCAGTTGTTGTGTTAGCAGACAAAATTTCGTTTAGTTATGGTATTTCACCTGTTTGTATTGATTGGTATAATAAATATGGAATACCTGTTCGCGGTACTGTTCAGGTAAATTTGTTGTACTATATACCTACTTTACAGTTTTATTAAATACATAAAATAATAAATAGAATAATACTATGACATTATTTGCCTGGTTTAATTTCTACAATAAGTGCTAGGTGTATATTTTAACAAAATTGGGGAGTTCTGTGTGTTAGAATTTTACAGTTCAATTACGTCTCAACTTAGCTGTGATTAATGTACAAAATCAAAACATTAACTTTAATATACATCCAGATTGAGATCTGCAATATTAATAATTTGATCAAGAAGGGCAAATTTTGGTTTTCTTTACATCTCTATTACCTCGTATGAGTTCTGTGAGCCACAAGAATAAAAATAAATTGTAAAACCGCTTAACATTATTCTTATTTCATATTCGATTGATTTAAAAACTTTGTTTAGTCAGACTTTACAGATACTTACAGTTGGGATATTTATATTATACCTTTATTTTAATTGTAGGTACATTATAAAATTGTATCATAATTTTACAGATTTATAAGGTTCAAAGGTCGTTAGATGGAATCTTTTCTACTCAAAAATTATATATGACTGGATGTAATTTACACACCAACAACAGTTCTTGTCGTCATTTGTATGATACATACAATTTTGCAGATTCAGTGACTTATGATAAGTTTTGTATCAGAACAATTATGGGTAACACAAATTTAGATTCCTTAAATTTGATTTCTAACAATTATAGAGTGATTTAATAGAATATTTTAGTTGGTACTAGTTGGTACTTTTGGGATCAAAAGCGAAATATTCTAGTAGGTACTTACCTGTATAAATAGTTTTATAAATCTAAAAAAAAATAAAGAAGACTGGTATTTTAATGCAAAACCAGTTTTTGACAATATATCGTTTTTTTGTTGAGAGTAACCTAAAAAATAATAACCATATAGTGTGGTATCAGTGATACCGTATACCGTATCACCCGTATTAAGTGACATATGATAAGCCTTTTACAGTTTTACGCCTTTCCCTCGTACACTCTCTAAAATAAAGATGTTATAAAGCAAAATAGTTATGTCATCTCATCACATATTGCTTTGCTGGTCTTACCAATATTAATAACTAACAGATTAAAATATTAAAATATATATTAAATAACATTATATATTGATGATTATCTATTTATCTACAATATACGACAATAGATACATGATATTTAGGGCATGGGCCAATTGCGCCAAAACAAAATTAGTATTTTAGGGTCAATGTACCAATTGTGCCTCTTATATTTTACGGTTAGTGTACCAATTGCGATTGTATTCAAATTTGCCTGGCTGCTACCTTCACATTTAGAAATATTGGTTTTCGATCTAATTCCTTCAACATCAACATAAACACTCTTAAATGCTTGAAAATTAAAAACGTATTTAATGATCAATTGATTACTGGTTAGAGTGACTGGTTTTAATACATTTTATAACAGTATCGGGAATTTTATGAAACGTTATTATTATTACGGACATTTGATCACGGAAGTATGCATTTGAGTGATGGACGAAAACAAGTTATCATTATCATACATTTTATATAATTGACGATCAAAAAATAACTTGTTAAATTTAAGGAAAAAAAATTGTTTATTTATTTATATTATATTATTATGTATTATGTAATAATACTCGCAAAAGATCGGTTAGTATAATCATTATTATCATACAATTATAATTTATAACTAACTAATAACTTTACCTTAGGTATTGTAAAAATGTTTTGAGCGCAATTGGTCTATTGACCCTAAAATGTATAAAGCGCAATTGGTCTATCGACCCTACAATGTTTAGAGCGCAATTGGTACATGAAAAGGTCATTTTAAGCGCAATTGGTAAACTCTCGATATTTTCAAAAAATGTTTATAATTGTATTTTCTGTAAGTAGGTACATGATTATATTTTCAAAATATTTTGAATGTTTTTGACCTATTTGTAAGTGTTAATTTTAGGTTCTGAGTGGAGCAATGAATTTATTGGTTTTGACAATGACGTGTGTTTTTAAATTTAAAATTAAAAATTTTACTATTTATGTCTCATCACCTTTTAGAACAGTAAAAACAATATTTTGTTACAATGACAGACGAAAAATATTAAAAATGCATAGTCGCAATTTTTTTTCATAAGCATTTAATGTTCAAATTTTGACAAAAGGCGTAAAAATCACGAAAATATGAAAATTATTTTAAGTAAATAATAATCAAGAAGAATGGCAAATGTTTGTGATGACAATGTTTGGTCCACAATAACCCGTTAAGCCGTATATGTGACGTGACTACTCCATTGTCCGTTATAATATTACTTATACACTAGGTACTATTGTTTAAAAATAAGAATAACGTTAATTTATAAATAAATAAAAATAAACAAAAAATGTAACCCTACCATAGGAAAATGTAATGGATTGCCTAACCTATGCACCCAACAATAGTAAGATCTTTAATTTTGGTCTTATGTATAAATAATATCGTTTTTTCTAGAAAATTTAGAAGGAGAGAAATATCACTACGAAAACATCAACATCTTACACTCTAATTCTTATTTTTTAACCGGTCTAAAGAGTTCCTGGAGTACATTAAATAACCAAACAGCCTTAGGTTTTATAGACATAAAATACTATATTCCATGGATTCGTGGTATTTTGAACAAACATACATTTAAAAACGTCTCTGTAAAGGTATACATTTTACTTTTTCATTTACTATATTAGCTTGTTTTTTTAATGATAACTTCTGCTTCAAAACTAGCATATTTTAGAAATAATAGATGTTTGTAAAATTGAATATGTTGGCAGGGTACAGTGAATTCCAGCGTTCTACCAACTATCAGTAAGTATTGTATAGTAATTTGTATGCAGTAATAATAACCGATTTAAATATTATGAGTTTGATTTTTAGTTATGTTTAATTATACTTTGTTTATATTTATAGAAATGTGTCCACCTCTACTATCAGATAGTTTAGATATTAAATGCACTCTTAATGGTGGGTATGCTGATTGCACAAATCCATCGATACCTAACACAATAGCAACAGCATCATGTAAGCCAACATATAGTGCAAAAAATGGACAACAAGATACCCCACTAAAGTTACTTTGCCAGTCTAATGGAATGTGGAATAAGCAATTACAAACATGCAAACCATATAATTGTAATTTTTGTTATGAAAACATAAGGTTTTAATTTATATACGTTTACTAATTTAATTAACTTGCACTGTTAAAAAAAACTTATGCCCGTATGCACTGTTATTATTACACAAATAATTAACTACAAAATCGAAATATACACATAAAATATATACAAAATTATATATCTTATGAAGACCGTAAAATAAAAAATTATTCTGGTTTCGGGTTAATCACAATGTTTTATTCGGGAGTTTTGAAAATAGAATCATTCGGGTTATATGGGTTTAGGGTTTTTGATTTTTTAAAGGTTCTTAAGGGTGTTACGGGTTCTGGTTAATTCAGGTGCAAGGCCCTGAATCAACCAAATGATTTTATTTATGTTAAATTTATTTGTCTTATAATTGTAAAAATAATTAGGGAAGAACAAATAATCGTTAGGTTAGGCGCAATCGTATGATGTTCATTTTTAAACCGCCAACAATATGTCTATTATTTAGGTATAATTAGGTACTTATTACCTACTTATTAATTATTTTAATTTATATTAATATTCAAGCCAGTGCTTCTAAATGTTTTCAAAAAAGATTGAAATCGATAACAGCTAACATATCGGTAATCGATAAACAATTGAAAACGGATAACGGATAACGAAACAGAAACAATAAACGATTTTAATTAATATAGAATAACGTAACAGAAAACGATTAATAATTGAAAGATAATATTTGCAGAAAATAAAATATTTATTTAGTTATAAAGTATCAGTAAAATATATATGATATTATATTTTTAATCACTTTGTACTCTGAACGAAACACGATGTATCCATCAGAGAACGCTAAACGCTAAACGCTAAAATGATTACCCTTCATAACGTTTAAATTTGTTAAACGTTTAAACGAATAAATTAAATAACGTTAAAAATTGTGTAACGTTTAAACTTTAAACACATAAATCGAATACGTTTAAATTCTTTATATAACAGTAAACGGTATTATTATTTTTGATTTAAGCCCTAATTCAAGCTAATTTATGCGTTTTACCAACTGTCCAAGGAGTTGTATATACTTATGAAGATTCAAATGAAATTTTATCTCACGGGACATTAATTAATCATACCCTGACTGTAAATGAGAACTGTGAAGTTGGATATCATAAAGCTTATCCCAATAGTTTTAGAGTTTGTCAGAGAAATGGAAAATGGAAAACTGTTTCTGAGAATTTATGTTTGAGTAAGTTGTGTATTGTAATTTGTCTGTTGTAATAATAACTTACCTATTTAAGTATTACGAGTCCGATGTATGGTTATGTTTGATTATAATATTTTTTTATATTTATAGAAATGTGTCCACCTCTACTATCAGATAGTTTAGATATTAAATGCACTCTTAATGGTAAGCATGCTAATTGCTCAAATCCATCGATACCTGACACAATAGCATCACCATCATGTAAGCTCACACATTCTCTACCAAATGGGCAAGAAGAAACACCACTCGACATACATTGTCAGTCCAACGGATTATGGAATAATAAACTATATAGATGCGAACCATGTAATTGTATTTTTATTATATAAATATAAGTCTCTGATTTATTTAACATTTACTGTATTCTTACTCTTATAATTAATTATAATTATATTCAAATATTATTTTAGTTTGCGGTAGAGTTTATATCAAGAGCCAAGTATTGATAAACAATGGTGAAAAAGCAAATGTTGGAACGGCGCCTTGGAATGTAGGAATATATCGATTAAATAAAAAAAATTTCAATTATGATTTGATATGTGGAGGATCAATTATTTCTCCAAATTTAGTCGTTTCTGGTAAAATATCTGTACAACGAATTAAAAAGAAAAATTCGATTAAATGAAACAAATTTAATTTTAGCGGCTCATTGTTATTGGGAACAAAGTATGGTATCGAATACAATATCAGTAAATGATGGTCTATACAAAATTGCTGTTGGAAAATATTCTAGGGATTTTACAGTAATTGACAATAAATTTACTAATATAATGGATGTAAGTTATAATAATTTAAAGTCTAAAAATAATTTGTGCACAAATGCATCACATGTGATAATTTGTATGATATATATTATGTATAATATGAATTATAACAATTGTATAGGTGGAAATTGTTTACCTAAGAGAAGGTTATTATGGAGTTACTGGGCATCTTGCTGAAGATATAGCTATTATTGTGTTAAAACACAGAATTTCTTTTAGTACTGTTGTTGCGCCGGTTTGTATCGATTGGAAAATGAAATACAATGTAATCAATGGAGATAAAGGAAAGGTTGGTTTGTAGAATTATTTACATAGTTAAATCCTTATTTAGATATACATTGTATATATGATCTAAGGTTAAATCACTTATTAAAATTATAATTCTATTACAGTTAATTACTGTACTTACCACTATCGACAGTCGTCTATTTGACAAATAGTATTTGTATATAAAGAGAAAATACCGTGAGATTCACTGTTAGATTTACATAAATGTTGCTACTTCTCAAAATATAACAAAAACAAATTGTTGAAGTGAATACCACTCTTCTATACAGCAGTATTTTACAAGTGGGTCACTGTAATGGATGTCGTAAAATTTAAATTCTATGATATAGTATGAGTAGTAGTTGGGCACATCCAGTAAACTTTTAGTAATTTATCTCAATAAATTCATTAAAATAACGAAGCACAAAAAGTTAAAAAAGAGCTTTCTTTTCATAATGCACAAAAGATCAGTAAATGGTTTTTAACATAAAAATATCACAAAATTACTCAAGTCAGATCATATTCATAAAAATAATTATAATTATTTATCTTATTAATATGATCATATTCATAAAAATAATTATAATTATTTATCTTATTAATATGATCACTAATTTTTTCATTACTAAATGGATTAATAAATATACTATTATTTAAATCTTTGAATTGGAATAAATCTTGGTTTATAATTTATTTCTAAATTATTAACTATATTTACAAAAAAATTGTTAAGTTCATTACAAATTTCAGTTTTAGAATCAATGAAAATACCATTTTTGTTTGCAATCATATTAATATTATTTTTATATTTACTTGGTTTACCTGTTATCGCATTATCTAATAACATTCCAAAATTGTCTACTGCAAGATTTCCTTGTGTCAAAAGCTTGAAAATGTAATACAAGACTCCTAATTGTTACAAAAACAATTAAAAAATATTCAAAATAGGTACATAGTCACAGAAGTTGGAATTTTGACAAAATACGTATCAATCAGGAAAATGTGCAAATTATTAAAGAATCATAAACATTCATCTCTTAAAATCTAAAATTTGAAAATTAAATACTAGATTCCTCAAAGTTTGTCTACCTTTACCAAAATAAATATGTCTACCGGAATGTCAAATTAAATTATTATGAGAGTTTGTAGTTCAAATTTTTACAACATTCGATATATTTTATTAAATTTCTTATGCAACAATTTTCTTTTTTATTGTTGTAATTCAAAAACGAATAACTGTAGATACTTGAAATTTATACCACATGTTCATTTTATCAATAACTATTTTTGATAGAATTTTCAAAATATTTTAACTCGTTTTGAGCTGTTTTGATATTTTCAATTTCGATTTATAAATATAAGATAAAATATTATTTTTTTGCTCAAAAAGCATGAAACATTTGAAAAGGTTCCTGATATTTTGTTACAATAGCAGTTTAAAAATATTAAAAATGCATAGTCACAATTTTTTTTAATAAGCTTTTTAAGTTCAAATTTTGATAAAATTTAAAAATAGTTTTTTAACTACATTAAAAACTTATAAAATGTTCAACTGTTATAGCTAAGGATTGATTATTTAAAACAAGGTTCCATGTAAGTAGGTTGTTCTGCAACCAAAAAATACAAAATATGATTTTTTTTTTAAAAGTTATTTCATGTTCAAATTTGAACGAAATTAGAAATTTAAACGAAGGAGAACGATTTTAGTTTTGTATTTTATTTTATAAATATTATTCATGGGTATTTGAAACTTCTAAAATCTATTATTATATAAAAATATGATAATAAACAAATAATAATAATTCTACTTAATTGGCTACCGTATTAATAATAACTTACTATTAATTGCAATTTAAATATAATATAAAATATCCCACGCTGACTTACAAGTTACCCTAAGACTATGTATAGCTAGTTAAAAGTTAAATACTTTTATGTTGTGTAACTAGTTACAAGTTATAGTTATTTTTTTGGAGTTTTTATGGCATTATCGCTTTGTTTAGTGCAATTTGTATGTTATTTAAGTTATTAATCTTAAATAAAAATTGACAAACAAACAATGTTATATTTTATTTTGATAAATGTTGTCAAAATTCTAATTTTAGACGCTCATAAAAAATTATTGTTGATTTTTTATCGACAGTAATTTTGAAAAAACAAATAAAATGTTTAATTTTCTTATACCTATAAATATCTCAAAAAAAGTCAATATAATAAAAAAAAATGGTTTTATAACATTAATGGAAATTAAACGTATCTACGGTGATTAGTTTTTAATTAGGTGCCTACATAAAAAAACTAAATCGATTTCATCAATAACTAGTTTTGAGTAAAAATTTTGAAAACTATTGTGAATATCCCAAATTTACCTCTCAAAAGTATCAACTTGATTCGTTTTACCATCGGAAAAGGTGCTGAAGTTGAAAATCAAAGCATTGTTTTACTAGAAAAAAATGTTTACAGACAGAAACAAAAAACACACATCATAGTAAAATCAATACATTCATTGTTCTGCTCAGACCTTCAGAATCTAAAATGAAATTTAAAATACAAATTGTAAGACACTAAACACTTTTCTCCTTTCATATTTGATCGAGTTCCAAAATTAAAAACTGCGATCAGTCAGAATGTATTTAAGAGGATGCAATAAGGTGGGCATTAACTAGTTAAAAAGTTAAATTTTTTTACTTAACTCAAGTTAATATTTTTTTCTATATTTACTTTAAACTTATCGAGTTAAATTTATAATTTGTTAACTATTAAATTTTAACTTATCGATGTTGTGTCCTCTTTACTTAACTAATTAACTTGAGTTAATTATTTTCATTAACTTGCCCACATTTGAGAGGATGTTAGCGCAGTATTTGTTTTCTCTCTCTAGCCCACGCGCAACATAGACAAAACGCATTTACGGCAGAATAATTTTTTCTATATTTTTACGTAATTTTAGAGTAAAATAACTGATTACAAAAAAGATAGAGAATAATATTTTTGAGGGAATGACATAATTTATCAATTTGTCTAAATATTGTCTCAAAACTATTTAAACATAATTTAAATGTAGAACATTTTTTTTTTTTTTTTTTGAAAGTCAAATAAAAGTCAAATAACAATAAATTATAAAATCGATATGTCATTCTCAACACTCACATAAAAAATGATTCATTTTTTACTTTAATTATAATTTTAAACTATACAACTGCTTTATACTTTTACAGATTGTTGGTTGGGGAACAACGGAAGAAGGCATTGATAGTCCTATTTTATTAGAAGCTTCTTTACCATACATTGACCAAAATTCTTGCCGGAATATGTATACAAACGGATTTGAATCATATGTGACTGTTGATAAGTTTTGTGCCGGCTCAGAATCGGGTAATAAAATACATACACTACTACCATGAAATCATTGATTTTTTAACAAACTTCTCTTAAATTTATTTAACACTGAATTTTGAAGTTAGACTTTCAAAAACGAAAAGATTAACTATTTTTTATTAAATTAATGAATCACATTTTACAATTAGTATAAGAAGACAAAATATATTTCTAGAAATCTAATAAACAAACTATATAACTACATAGTGAGCGTACGTTGGACGCCATATTGATCTAACTATTTTTTTATAATGCATTTTAATCATACTACACTAGTTAATGATGATCTATCAAATCCAAAAGGTAATTTTTCTGGCACTGATGTTCTATAATGAGGTACCTCTATGTAAAATGGCATAATAGTATCATTTTAGTGCCGTTGTGTGTAAGATCTCATCGACTCATATAATGAGTCATTATCAAAATTAAGTATTTTTTAGAAAAGTTGTCATCAAATTACAGAATAGCTATAACCTACTGCGTTTTAATTCTTAATTAAATGATTTTTTCCTACATTAAATAATTAATCATCGACAACGAACGAAACAGTACTTACGTTGGTGCCAATATTTTTAGCTATTTTACAAAACGTATTATCTACTTATATATAAGGTTATGAACTGTACAATTGTACTTTATAATTATTTTACTATAGGAAAATATTATTACTAATTCACTAGTTAGTACTTATTACGAACTAAGAAAATGGTTATCAATTGAAAATTACCATTATCGTTTATCGTTGACGACAATCTATGACGGTATATGGGATATTCAAATACATATACATAGCTCTAAGCCTCTAAATATATAAAGCTCTCTCTGTTGGTAGTGCAACTTTCATCAATAGAACCAACATGACTAATCAGCATTTTGATTTTTGAACAAAGTGTGTGGTTAAAATGCAATAAACAAATTTCAGTACTAAATAGATTTTTTTTCTGTGTGTTTGAAGATTGGGTAGAGGATCTAACAGTCGTATGATTTATTTAGGTATTATTTATAAATTAACCCAATAACAGACGTAATATTAATAATTAATATTAATTTGTGTCTAATGTAGAAAATATTTCATTTCAGGACAAAGAGTAGATAAGGGAGATAGCGGTGCAGGTTTATGCTTTTTACACTCTCAGTTTTATTTTTTAACCGGAGTAGTGAGTTCCAGGGATCCAGAAACAAATAATTCAATCGCAATTTTTACAGATGTTAAGTACCACATTCAATGGATTCGTAAACTGTTTATCACACATAACTAATACCAATATAATTATAGTAATGTTATGAAATTAGTTTATTCTAATAAATTGTTATTGATATCAATATTTGTATAAATAGTTTTTTTTATCTATGTATAACATTGTTTAACAGTTCATTAAAATTAAACAGGTGCGTATGTCAAATACATAATATTATGCAGTACCAATGTATTTATATTATAATAGACACATATTGAAATCAGTTTTTAGCATACAGCAATTTCGCATTGTACCTAGCTATAATATTATACATTAATTGTTTCATAATTATAACTAGGTCTTGTGGATTAAATTTCAAATAATTACTTGTCTTACACTTACTATTCCTTTTTATCAACTGTATTGTTGTAACGTACAATGAAAAAATGATTTATTTTACTGGACTGGTTAACTTTAAAATAATAATTATTAATATATTACACATAATATACAAAACCCTCGTTGCGCAGATAGGCGATATGTATGCTAGCTATGCCGTCCTTGTTACTACTAAACTGGATGCTTATCGACGATAGTGTAGGTACCTAAGATAATTTCTGAGCATATCGAACATGGCTGGCCACCTTGAAATAGTAAGTTTAAAAAAAGAATATATATGTATATCAGTAATGATGTTAGGTAAATGATTAACACGCATTCGAGTTAAACAAAATACAAATATTATAATTTATGATAATAATAAATGCAAATAAAATTACAATAATAAATAATAATTGTTCACATAAAGGGAATGATAATAATTGTATAATATGCATAAGGGATGAATTATATTATATTGCCATTAAAAGAAAATGATCATTAGTTACGCACAACGAGCTTGAATATTATTCCCCGTGACTCGTTATTCTGACAGTCTCTACACGTAAGTGATCGTCTGCGCCGACATGGGTTGCTATGTGTACTAAGAATTGGTTTAGTAAGTTAACACACGAAACATAGCAGGTAAGCGGGTACATATAGAAGTTCCCACATGAAAAAAATTACACCCGTAAGTAAGTTCCCACACGACAATTTATTCAGATTTAGGACTGACAATTTAAACGTAGTCGGTCCAAATATATAATAAAAATGAATTAGGTATATAATGTATAGGTATGGTCCATATATTATTTGTACTTTCGCAAGCGTTTGTTGTTAGACTTGTATCAGAACTAGCATTAGCCCAAATACTAGGGGGGAACTATATCAATAACAAAATATCCGATTATAACTTAAAAATAATTACACAGTACGTATGACTATGTGAAGGTGTATGCGCTTTCGCAATAAGCCAAATAAAATTTAATATTTTCTATCACTATTGTTATAATTATTATAACTATTTTTATTTTATACCTATACAAATAATATGTGGACCATACCTACACATTATATTATTAATTTTTATTATGTATTTGAACTAGATTCAATTAAAAAATGTATTGGACTCTTTTTATGCAACACAAAAACAAACAAATTTTAACCACACAACTATACATTTAAGTTGTCACTACTTGTCAGTCCCAAGTCTGAATAAAGCGGGAAGGAAGTTTGTATTCGATGTAATTTTTTTTCGTGTGGGAACTTACGTACGGGTGTAATTTTTTTCATGTGGAAACTTACGTATACATACATACTTATTTATTTTTTTAGATTTTTTTTAACAGAATTAACTACTTAAGTGGAATCTTTTTATAAGTTTTCAATGCTTAGATATAAAAGTTGAACATTTTATAAATTTTTAACTACAAAATAATTATTCAATTTTAAATTTGATAAATTTTGTCAAAATTCGATCTCTAAATGCTTATTAAAAAAAAATTGTGCCGATGTATTTTTAATATTTTTCAATTGATGTTGTAACAATATATCAGGAGCCTTGCATTAAATTTTTACACTTTTTGGCCCAACAGATAAAACTTTATTGATATTTATAAAAAAAAAATAATAAAAAAATTTAAAACTGAAAATGTCCGTAAACAGCTCAAAAAGAGTCAAAATATTTTCAAAATTGTATGGTGTATAGCAAATGCTAATATAAACATTCAGTGAAATTTTCATGTATCTACAGTTATATGTTTTTGAATTACAACAAAACAAAGAAATCATTGAAAAATCAATACATTCATCGTTTCACTCAGAATCTAAAATGTGTTCATAATAATGAAGAAACTTTCATGAATATTAGTTAGCCAAAGATATTTTATAGTATTAGATAGATTTATACTGTTGAGTTATTTTTTTCCAAAAATAATAAAAAGTTATTAATTAATAATTTAATTGAACGGTGTAAATACTAAAAATGTTAATCAAAATGGTTTAAAAATTCCATTATATGTACCTATATATATATAATTAATATAATAATATATGTATAAGTTTCAAATCCCTACAAAAAATATTTTTTAATTATAATTAAATAACTAAATCGTCATTCTTCGTATAAATATCTAATTTATCGTCCAATTTATACTTAAAATATCAAAAAAAAAAAAAATTTCTTACATCTTTTGATTCTATCATGACCTACTTACGAGGGAACTTATATTAAATGTTCAGATCTTAGATATAAATATAATATTTTTTATGATATCTAGCTAATATCATTAATATAACCAATAATATAATCAATACTAATACCCATCTATAATAATTATATATAATGTGGTAGTTGACTTGAACATGTTAGTAATTTATAAAAATGTATAAGCGTAAAAAAAATTATATTTTTAAGTGTATGTAATTCATTGTCAATGAATGCAATATGCATGTCGGCAAATTTGGTGTAAGCAAAATGGTGTGTCGGTGAATTGATTTGTCGGCCAATCGGTACGTCACGCTTAAAACTGCAGTTCTTATCTCTTTCTCTCTCCCACACCGCATACAACCAATGCGTGCGAGTGAGAGGTCCGAGCGCAAATAGTCTCGATATCGTAATTTGTGAGCTGTTTTTTCTCGGTTTTTCTTTCTGTAGCGAGACTTTTCAATAGATAAAATGCGAAATTGGTATATATTATGTTAAAAACTGAATTCAATATGTGAAAATTATAAAAATATATTATATAAAACATTGGTATCGCATATTATGTATTATGTATTATGACGTACTTACGTACTGTTATGTTTAATTTTAATCGACTGTTAAACATATTATTGTTACACATAAGTAAAAAACTATTTATACAAATAATAATTTAATTTACAATTAGAACAAATTATTTTCATAACATTAATTCATTACTATAATTAAATTGACATTATTTATGTTTGATATACAGTTTACTAATCCAATCAATGTGGGACTGGATATCTGTAAAAGCTGCGATTGAATAGTTTGTTTCTGGGTCGTTGGAACTCACAACTCCGGTTAAATAATACAAATCAGAGTGTACAAAGCATATACCAGCACCGCTATCTCCTTCACCAACTCTTTGTCCTGAAACTAAATATATTTTCTACATTGGACACAAATTAATATTAATTAACAATCTTACGTCTGTTATCGATTTATTTTATAAATCATACCTAAATTAATCATACAACTGTAATTGGGTAGTATGTACAACAGTGGCAGTCAAATGGGTGGAGATGACTGATGAGGGGATATATCCTCCCCCTCCCCCAATGATCTTTTTTCAATGTTTCACATCTAATACATATAAATATTGTTTTTAATAATAAAATAATGCAGGTTAAAAAATCGGCCATATCCCCCAAGAGCTGAAAAAATCATTTGACTGCCACTGAGGTACAATATAGATTTAAATTATTTATTACAAATGAAGTACAAGTACCTACTGTATTACAAGGATATATTATGGTATGGTAGTTATAGCGTGTGGTAGATGTGGTTTGGAACTATAATATTTAGTGATGTAGGACCACTACATCAATTGTGTAATCAACTGTTAGCCGATAACTCAATGAATTTCAAACCATATAATTTATTATAATTGGTTAGATAATTTTAAATCAATATTGTGTAATCATCAAATCTTTAATAAATCACTCAATAAACTACTTTAAAAAAAGTTTTAGACTAAAACCACATCAGCCACTTGGTAGATACTGTTTTATATAATAGCTGCGATGGCGGGCGCTGTCATGACCATTAACATTATAATATAATAAATACGTAGCATAATACGGCACAATATTATAAAGATAAAAGTATAATACATATAGGTACCTAATTTATTTTACCATGTAAGTCACTAACGCATAGCATAATATAAAATATGTTATTATGTATAATATTTCTATACTTAAATAAAAACACGGGACAACTACGAGCCATATGGAATGTATACTTACATACTATATATTGATGCCATAGGCGCAATTTCAATACTTTTGACTTGGGGAGGGGCTTAATATATTAAAGGCAAGTAGACCATTGCAATATAGCATTTTAAAATTGTATGTCCTAGGTTTTTTTTTTGGGGGGGGGGCTACACCTAAGTTTGGAGGGATTAGCCCCCCCCCCTCCATCAATTTACGCCTATGATTGATGCGCATGGCAATATACATTATACATTTAAAAAAATATATTTTGTATTCTTATAATACTTGTAAAATATGATTAATTATTTTAATAAAAATTAAGTTAATCTCTTCATTTATAAATGAAGCCTACTGCCTACCTTCAATATTCAGTGTTTAATAAATTTAGATAAGTTTGTAAAAAATATCAATGATTTCACGGTATCAGTGTTCAAATATTTTATTACCCGATGTAGAGCCGGCACAAAACTTATCAGGAGTCACATATGATACGAATCCGGTCTTAAACATTTGACGGCAGACCCTATTGTTTAAGTATGGTAAAAATGCTTCTAATAAAATAGGACTTTCAATATTTTTTTCCGTTAATCCCCAACCAACAATCTGTAAAAGTATAAAGCAGTTATATAGTTTACAATAATATTAATCACTTTCTATGTGAGTGTTGGGAATGTGTATAATTAGTTGAATAAAGTCTGACTGATCAAAGTTTTTTAACTATGGAATTAGATCAAATA